TTTTATGATTTATTTTTCTAGAGTTTTTATATTTATTTAATTTGGTCCGTGGTGCTGACACAATGTCAAAGGGGGGTTTGGGTGGGTAATAAAGGAGAAGCAGCAGAGATGTGTGTAAGACTACAACTCTGCTTCCTAATCTGGACCCTGGATTGTCAATAATTTTTGTGGTCAACAAAATCAGCTAAATTCTTAGAAAGGAGAGCGGCCCTGGTCAGGGTGGGATGGATGCCATCTCTCCACATCAGACCAGGTTTCCCCCAGAAAGAACACCAGGTATCTATGTAGCCAACGTTTTCAGAACACCACTTRGATGCCCATCGGTTAAAAGAGGACATTTGACTAAATATGTCATCACTGCTAAGGTTAGGGAGGGGGTCAGAGAAAACTTAGAGTCCGACACGGTCTTTGCAAAGTTACAGACTGAAGCTACGTTAATTTTAGTGACCTCCGATTGGCGTAACCGAGTGTCATTACCACTGACGTGAATCACAATCTTACTGTACCTAGCATTAGCATTAGCTAGTAGCTTCAGGTAGGATTCAATGTCACCCGCTCTGGCTCCAGGAATGCATTTAATCATGGCTGTTGGAGTCTCTAGATCCACGTTTTGGACCATGGAGCTGCCAATTACCAGGGTCTGTTTCTCGACCCGAGTGTCGCTGAGTGGGGAGAAGCAATTAGAAACATCAACGGGTTAACGGTCGGGAAGTTTAGCTTTAGCACTGTGCTTTTTCCGAGCCGTCACCCAGCTACTAGCTCGGTGTGCTGGTCTCACGGGAACCACCGAGAGACCGCTAACAGGAGAGGCTTCTCTCGGCGGCTCCATGCTAGCCTGGCTAGCTGCTGGCTTCTCAACAGTGCAAAGCCGAGCTTCTAATAAAGACAGACTCGCCTCTAAATCTGCCATGAGTCCACATTTAATACATACGTTGCCGTCGCTAAAGGAGGCAAAGGAGGGACTAAACATCTCACACACAGAGCAAGTGAGGAAAGACGGGGTCGGAGAAGAAGTAGCCATGATGCTAAGGAAACGTTGGCGAGAGCTACTAGATCCCAAAAAACACAAATAAAAGCAAGAAGTGTTGAAAAATAAAAGATGTTTAAAGCACAGTCCCATTACAAACAAACTATATCAAAGGTGATTTAGGACTAGAAGTAGAACCATGCAAAGGCAGATAATTCAGTGAATTGAAGAAATTCCCCAAACAAACAAACTGCCGAGCACCAGCAGCAAAGCAGAAAATGATACAAAACGTTACCCCACGTCTATCCTCACCCAGTCCCCTGAAAACAGGAGGTGTATGGAGGAAGACGGCTTGGTAGGAACTCTAAAGTTTGTGGTGCTTGTTACCGGAGCACTGTCAGCGTCTGTCAGCATCACTCTTCCCTGCCTCGTCATGCTGAAATTAAAAGTTAAAGAAAGGTTATTCTGCAGAAAGATTTAGATCTTACAGTGCAGCAAGCATATCTTTTACAAGTATTTCAGAATTTGTATTCATGTCATGAGAAATGTAATGTCAAATTATGCTAGTCTATGCTAATCTCCTGGACTTTTTTCTGTTGTTGTGTTTTTTAAACAATATAAAGTTTCTTGTGTAAAGGTCAGTGTATCTTTTGGTMATTGGTTTTTCATTTTAGAAACAGGTATTAAAAAACAAGAAACGAGTGGATATTTGATTTTTGTTTCAAAATACTGAAATTAAAATTCAAACACAAAGAGTTTCTCATTCTTAGTGTCAAAAGGGGATGAGCAAATTTTTTTAATGATTTGAGTTTCATTTTCTGTTTCAGATAACAAAAAAGAAAATTAATTTAAGCCAGAAACGAAAAAAGTCTTGTTTGTTCATAAGCCATGAC